CGGAACCGACTCCACGGCACATAACAACAACAACAACAGGGAACCTAGCTCCAGAGGATACAGGGAAAGGTGGAACCTCTACTGAATTGTTTCCAACCTGTCTGGATGGGGTTGATAAAAGGTGAGGGGAAAAGGACTCCTGTGGTTCAATAAGGAATGATTGCTATTAGGTCTGACAGTGAGTGTTGGAAAGATAAATGTAAATGTTTGGTAGCAAAAGGAGGGGAGTGGCTGATTTTGCAGTCCAGGAGCAGAGATCTCTAGAACCATCAAGGGAGAAAAGCGAAGACCCTGCTGCCCTGTCGGAGGAGGCAGTGACACTAGGGATGAAGGCTGAGGCAATGATGTGGACAGAAGGAGCCGCTGGGGACTCTGGACTCTGGGAGGGAGAGGGGCTGTGTGCTGGTGGCCAGGGGAGGGGAGGCAGGAGTGTGGGGCGTACCCTTTGGGTGTTCGATGATGCATGCAGGGGGTTGTGACCATTGCTATGAAACAAAGTATGATAGGATGAATGTAAAGATAATGTTTGCCTATGTAAACTAACACATAATTCACAATAAAAACTTTTTAAAAAAAGAGAGAGAATTCTGCATTGTACTCTTGTTTTATTTTGTTCTTTTAAATAAAAAATGTTTTGCTCATCAAAAAAAAAAAAAGATAAATGAAGTCCTGATACACGTGCACCATGGATGAATATTGAAAACAATATGCTGAGTGAAATCAGTCAGTCACTTATGATCCCACTTATACGAAATAGGCAAACATAGAAACCAAAGATCGTTTGTGGTTACCAGGGGCAGAAGTGAGGGAGAGAGCCTTTCTGTTAATGGTGGAATCATTTGGAAAGAGATCATGCTTCACACTGTTGTTTACAACCTAAACAGTGTCACTGAACTGTACATGTGAAAATGGTTGAATCAACACATTTTTCTTCTATACATCTTTTTTGACTCCAATAAAAGGTCAGCCCCAGCCCTATCTGTGGAGGGTTCAGAATGCTAGTGCTCCTGGCATGCTTGGTCCCCTCTGCCAGGGAGTGACTGGAATTTTCCACCTGGAGCTCCTAAAACCAGAAGCTGTGCTGGTCACCCTTCCTGCTGAGGAACTTTCTCTTTGACCTGCCCAAGCCTTGACCTCTACTCCTGCCCACGCTCCCCACCCTTGGCAGCTCCTCCCTTTGCACTGCCCAAGCCGCTGGCCCAGAATCCTTGGGAATGTTCCTGATCTTTGCTTTGGTTTCCTTCAGCTCTTGGCAGCGTCCTTCTGGCTCTCTATGTCCCATACCCCCAGCTCAGCCTGCCCAAGCACCCCATTGTTTCCATACCTCCCTCCCCATCCCCTGGTCTTAGTCATACTCCGGCTTGGCTTACTCCCTTTTGGGACAATGCTGATGCCCTCAGAACCAGTCTACTGGAAGAGTGCCAGCCTGGAGTGAGTGCAGGGGTACCTTAAGCCTGGTTTGAGTTTACTCTTGACCGCTGACATCCCTTGACTTGTCTTGCTGATCCCTCAGGGCTTCTAAATTGGAGCTGGAAAATCTGGGTTCTCGTGCCCTTCCTATCCCTGATCCCTTGACCTTGAGCAAGACCTTACTTGCCCATCTCCCTAAACCTGTCCAGGATATGTGGAGCAGATTCCCTCTCCCTTCCCCTCCCTGAGGACACAGAGAGAGGGTGTGGGAGAGACAGATCGTGCCTTGCAATGGAAAGGGCTTTTAATGGATGCCTCCTGAATTATAAATGTGCTTAAGTATCTCTTAGCCAGACAGTAGCCCCCTGAAGTGGAAGGCTATGCTCACCACATCCTGCTGTAAACTCACAGAGCTTTTGTCCCTGAGTCAGGAAGAGGATTTGGCCAAGGGTTTGAGGTCCCCCTGGGCGGCTAGCCCAGAGACGGGTGCCCAGTGAGGGTGCTTCCCCATTCATGCCCAGGGCCCCGAGCCTCCAAGAGTGGGAAGAGGCGCTGGAGCTGCAACATGAACCAGCGAGGACAGGCTGGGCTCCGCACCTCACTTGTGTGACTGGCCAGAGATACTCTCAACTCCCCTGTGCCCCAATCAGGAGGAGCCCATGCTGGTGCTGGTACAGCTGGACAGCCAGGCTACTAGCACACCCACACTTTCACCCCTCCTGGTGAACCCACCAGAGAATGCCTGAGTCCTCACCACAAACTCAGTCCCACTGAGAATGTAAGCCCAGATGTGAGGAGCCCAAATCCTAACTTGCAGTTCTCCCCACCTCCCTCCAAATCTGGGAGCAGGGAGGCAAGAAGCCCTTCTTCATGGGCCCATAGGGGAGCTGTGCACCAGGCCAGGCCCCACAGGGTCTCTGGGACCCACGTGCTTTTTCACATGCAGAGTCCAGGGCACATGAGGCCTCAGGGGCCAAGTAGGCTCTACTCTCCTTCCAGAGGGCTTATCTGGGCCTGTGTCTGGGCTCAAGAAACAGGCATGAAGGGTGTGGCTGATGAAGGGCTGCCTAGCCCACCAGGCTTCAGGGCAGAGCATTGTAGGTAGGGGGCAAGGGGTCCTATTTGCACTGCCCCCGCACCCCCACCCCACCTCCTGTTTCCACTGCCTCCTTCACAGGAGAACAGGAAGCCAGGAAGTGGTCAGCCGGCAAGGTTTCCTTCCTTTCTCACCAGCTACTGGGGGCCTTGACAACGTGGCCTGACCGGTGGGGACCCACATATTCTCGGGTTGGGAATTTCTGTGGGAAGATGATCTATTTGACCTGTGGGACCCAGAGACACACTGGAACTGGAGCCTTGGGAAACCAGGGTGGTTCCTGGCTGATGTGCTCAGCTCACACCCTCACCCCCATACCGGGATGCCCAAAGAGCTGCCCAGCAGCCACCAGTAGCTCCTAATGGGCAAACCTTCTTTCCTCAGACTGTAGGAACACCACACCTCCTACTATCAGGGGAGTAGGGAGAAGGGGAACATCCATTTTAGTCCTCCAAGGCTCCCTCCCATCAGAGAAGGCTGTCCAGAGGCATGGCTTGGAGTTAGTGCCTTGAGCAGAGGGCTTAATCCTTGGTCCTGAAATCAAAGCTCAGTGCCTGGATTTCCCCTCAGAGACACCCTGAGTCCCCAGTCCTGAGCAGAACTAGCGGTAGGGGTGGGGTCTTACCTGTCCCTCTTCTCACTGCACTGCGGGCCCCGCCCACACTTAGGGTCCCTGTGTGTTTGTTCTCATCCCCTTTCCTTCCTGTGGTTAAACCCAAGAAACACATTCCCCTTGAAGCCTCACAGGCTGAATATGAGACAGATCCGGCAAAGTGGCACCTTTGGTCAAAGTGATGGCATCTGCATGAGGACTCTAGGTGGATGTAAGCTGTTCTCCCCTCCTCCAAATTGGGGCTAGAGGAGTCTGAGTGAGCGCTCCAGGGGCCAGCCTGTAGGTTAGACTTGAGTTCTAGAGTCAGACTTAGATCCTGGTTCAGACTCCCTTGTTGGGCCACTTTGGACAAGCTCTCTGAGCCTCAGCAAGTCCTCTGTAAAATGGGGCTGTTGGGAGCATTAATTGAGAGAACATGGCTGAGAAGCTGGTCCAGAGACTGCTCTGACTCAAGGTATTACAGGTGAGGTTCCTTGGCAACCCAGATCCACAAGCCCAGCACCTTATCAGCAGGAGGGGCCCTGGTCCTATATAACTGGGAATTTGGAAATGCTGTGCCTAGTCCCACTTCCCGAGAACCACCAAGTCCTAGGATTTCTGGAGAGTCCAGCACGTCTCTGCTCAGAGCTGGGCACTGAAGGCCTAACCCACTCAAGTCCCCTGAGCGCTCAAATCAAAATCTCATCACCAGAGAAGCCTGGTCCTCCCCAACATACACTGAGCCAGCCCACAAGCCTTACTGAGGCTCAGCTTTCAGGATTGATTTTTCTTTCAAAAACAGGAGCCACTGCCAGCAAAGTGGACAAGATTTGAAACCTCAGTCCCTCGGCACTCCATGCCCAAGGCCTTGGCTCAGTTTCCTGCTGAAGCAAGAAGCTTCCTGTCCTCCTTACACCTAGCCCTGAGTCCCTGGCCCAGGGCTGGCTGGGAGTGATTACATGACGGGAAGTTTCCCGGCAGCCCCAGCAGGTAGAGAATATTAGCCCATTTGGACTGTTGCACAATGGACGACAATCCTGACTTCAACAACCTGGACGTTGTGGCTCAGGATGAGAGAGGAGTCTGAGGATGTGCCAATCCAGGACCAGATGGAAACCGGTGCCTGCCAGTCTCCTACCTGTCCCCAGCCCTAACAAGACAGTAAATAATCAACAACAAAAAAAGGGGGGGACACAGCCCACCCTGACCTGACTGCTCCTCTTCCTGGTTACCCAACTGACCAGCTGACCACCTATTTGTACATTTACAAATGCATATACCAGCACAGAGCCCCCAACAGCCCCCAGCCCCAGCATCACTGCAGACCACATCCAGACAAGAAGTGGTGCTAGGTCTCGAGCCTTGTTTGTCCATGACTGCTTATGTGAACGGACTCCTGATGTGGCGCTGTAGGATCAGCACTGGACTGTGAACCACAAGATCGGCAATTCAAACCCACCAGCCACTCCTTGGAAACGCTATACAGGGTCGCTATGAATTGGAAACGACTCCATGGCACTTACCAGCAACAAGAGCTCATGGGAACACAGACCCATCCAGACTCCCTGAGGTCCAAGCCCTCCTTACCGTCTGTTTGGATCCCCGTCGGGCTCCTCGGCTTCTGCATCCCAGTCCCCAGGCTGCGTGGGAACATGTGGGCCAGAGAACCTGGTACCAGGACCTTGGGCACAGGCCCCCAACAGTCCCCACCTCAGGGCCCCCCCCAGGCCAAACAGCAGTGTCAAGATCATCTCTGCTACTGAGGCAGGTTTGGGCTCAGCTTGACCAAGTGACTCCAGAAACTGCCAGTGACGTCATCCTCAGATTAAGTCTCAGAAGGAAAAGAAAACTCAGGACAACAAAGAGAGGAAGTGGCCTAGGCCGGCCCCCCGGCGGGCGAGGCAGCCAACATACTAACAACACAGGTCGGATCCTGCGCTGCAGAGGATTGGGGTCAGGGACACTGGGGGATGTGAGTAGGCACAGGGTGAGGAGCTAGCCCCACCACACATGCCTCCTGGAAATCTGGTCCTTGGAATCTGGAAAACATAAGCTTCACAGTGTGTCTGCAGGCAGTGGTAGGATCAGTCTTGGGGAATGTGTTGTTGTTGTTAAGTGTTGTCTAATGGGTTCATAGAAACCCTGTATAGTGTTTCTGAGGAGCAGCTGGTGAGCCTGAACCGCAGACATTGCGATTCAAACCAGCACATTCATTAACACATAGAGCCAAACCAGGACATCTTTGGGAACCTGCTCCTTAGGGGGTACTTCATACCTACTTAGCACTTTTCACCACTGGGCAGTAGGAGCCAGCAGTGGTGGGGGCTCAGAGAGGAAGAGGGAAGCCTTTGTGTGTCCCTCTGGAGTGGATTAGGAACACTCAGTGTACTTGTGAGTAGCTGGGAAGTCAGCTGCTGCCATCTGTGGATTGTGACCCCTGCCCTTCCTGGGCCACTGGGGGCATTGGCAAAGACTTCCCCATTCTCTGCACTGGTTCCCCCGCAATGTAGTACAGCCCCTGTGAGTGGGCAGTGTAGCTGAATGCAAGGCAGCGATGGATAAGGAGGGGTTCTGTTCCCATAGCCCCTGCTGCTTGAAGAGAGAAGGAGAGCAGAAGTGAGTCTGGTTCTCCTGCCTGGAGTGGCGGGGAGAGGAGGGCAGTGACTGGAACCCTCCCTCTCTCCTTCCCTCCCTGCTTCCCTTCCCTGGCTGGCTGGGCTCCAACCGGTCACCACATCAATATTTCATCCGAATCAATAAGAGGCAGCAGAGACAATAAGAAGCAGCCGACTCATAGGAGGCAGCAGAGACAGCGGCTGTCGCAGCCTGGCCAGCTTGCAGCCAGCAGCACGAAGGGCGTCAGCTCTCCATTCCTGCCCTTCACCATGGACGTCTTCAAGAAGGGCTTCTCCATTGCCAAGGAGGGTGTGGTGGGTGCCGTTGAGAAGACCAAGCAGGGTGTGACTGAAGCAGCTGAGAAGACCAAGGAAGGGGTCATGTATGTGGGTGAGTAGGGGCACAGCAAGGTAGGGGGCTGGCAGGGCCATGGTGATGGAGGGTTGGCAGCTGTGTTCCCTTTGGTCTGACCTTCCTCTTAGGCTCAGGGAGGTATGGGGGGGGGGGGCGGTTGTGCTGGGAGGTTGAGGGCTTAACCACTGAGCTGGGATTTCCAGGTTTTGTAGCACTCTGTTCCCAGACATCAGTGTCTGTTCACCTGTGCCCTCCTTGGAGGTCCCAAGGGTCTCTAGGAGACCCAGACCTCAGACCCCACTCCCCAGGCCCCCAGTTGACAGCTGACCACCTGTTTGTACACATACAAATTCATATAAAAGCACACACACACCCGTAGCCCCCAGCCCCGGCTTCACCGCTGGCCTACAGACACCACAAGAAGCGGCACTAAGCTGGGAGCCTTGTTTGCTCATGGCTGCTCATGTGAACACAGCCCCACCCAGACCCTGGCCATGCCTCAGGTGTCCACATGAAGCTGCTGCAGTCAGGTCACAGGTTCCCAGAGGGGAGGGAGGGATAGAGGCTGCGGAGACAAAGGTCCATCTCTCGTCATCCCTACTAGGCAGAGTAGATGACTTAGCACAAAGCTGCCCAGTCCTACAGCTGTTGCTGGGGCCCAGGGCTACACCTGGGATGGGGTCTGGACTCTGGGCCCAGCCAACTCAGCCAACAGTGCCCCTACCTCCCGCCTGATCTCTTTATTCCCCTCATCCTGTCTTGTCCCCTTCCTGTCCTGTCCACTTCCTCCAGGCACTGCAGGAAGCAGTCCTTTGAAGGGTCATTGTGGCCCCCAGACACCATCCCTCACTCCCCACGGTTCCCACAGCATATATATCTCTTCTGTGATGTTTTCCCTGACTCCTCAAAACACCATGAAATGATGCTTCCATTTCCTCCCCAGGAGCCAAGACCAAAGAGGGTGTTGTACAGAGTGTGACCTCAGGTAAGGAACCCCCAGGACCAGGAGACAAGGGAGCTTGAACCCCCTTAGGATTCTTCCCCCATAATACTGAGGATCTAAGCCCAGGACCCTCCCTGACTCCCCAAGCCCTACATAGACTTAGACACCTCTAGACTTGATGTTAGACCCTAAGTGGGACCCCACTCCATTCGCATCAGAGCTCCATCCAAATCAGAGAGAGGGGAATCTAGGATATTTGGCAGAGCCAAAGTTCTGAGTCCCTTGGGAAGGGGCTGGTCCTGCCTAACTTGGCAGGCCCAGATCCAGGTGGGGCGGGGTTGGTTATGGCAGAAGCCTGCCAGAACCATCCTCCACAGTTGCTGAGAAGACCAAAGAACAGGCCAATGCGGTGAGTGAAGCCGTGGTCACCAGCGTTAACACCGTGGCCACCAAGACCGTGGAAGAAGCAGAGAACATTGCAGTCACATCCGGGGTCGTGCGCAAGGTGAGCCCGGGTTCCCATTCCTGGCTTCTGTCTGGCCCCATCCTTCTGCTGAGAGGCATGGTTCCCCCATAGGACATCGAGGGAAATGACCTTCAGGGGCCAGATTTGGCTACAGAGTCAACCCTTAACTGCACACCTACTGGGTGCTAGGGTCTGTGCATATTCATTTCATATCCATTAACCCTGAATCCTACAAACGCCGCTTTTGAGGGAGAGAGTTTGAGGCCCATTTTATAGATGTGGAAATAAGGTCCAAAATTTCTCCCTCCAGACGCCAACCAGCATTTCACTTGACAAGTGAAAACAAGGTTTTCTGGACCCACGTACAGATAAGCAGAATCCGGGTGTGTGTGTCCATGCTTCAGGCTGAGTCACTGTCCATAGTTTCCGTCTCTTCCTGGGAGGAACCAGGAAACAGCGCCCCCTGGTGATGGGAATGCTGTGAGGGTTCTGAGCCCCACCCTGCACCTACATCTTTGCATGTCGATGTGTGTATGTGTACGCTAGTGTCCTGAGGGAGGCCTGGTGTAGTACTGTAGGATAAGCACTGGACTGTTAAACCTGAAGGTTAACAGTTCAAACCCCCTCACCACTCCTCAGATCCTCAGAAACCCTGTACAGGGTCGCTATGAGTTGAAATTGACTCAACAGCACTTAACAACAGTGTCCTGATAGCTGAGCACACAGGTGCAGTGGGGTTCTCCTGGAGGCGATACAGGCTGGACTGGTTAGTAGGACTGTCCAGACACAGAGCAGGCTCCACTTCTAGTATTTACACATATTAAGTCATCTAATCTACACCAAATCCATGAGTTAGGGCGTGGGAATGGAGGCCCAGAAAGGATGAGTATCGCGCTTAAGAGCACACAGCTAGTTCATGTGAGCTGGATCCTGTGTCTGGGTCTAAGTGGTGAGGACCAGGACTCCAATCTGGGATGAGGGGCTGATTCCAGAGATGCATCATCTCCAACTTGGTTTAAGGCTGCCTTCCAGAGAACTCACCTACCTGGTACAGGTGGAGTGGGAAGCCCCCAGTGCATCCAGCCCTGAGAACCCCTAGGGATAAGGATAAAGGGCTTTTCCCCACTCCTGGCTTCCAGGGGCTCACAAGGGTCACCATGTGCTTGGAGCAGGCAGCTGCTCCCATTTTTGAGTTCCCAGCTCTACCTCTTTCTAGCTGTCTCACCTCAAAAATTCTTTGACCTCTCTGGGTCTCCACTTCCTCATGTGTAAAATGGGGTTGAAAGTATGTGTGTCATTGGGCTACGTTATGATTCAGGAAGATGGGCACATAAAGCTGTTAAGCCTGGCTCATGGTACATACCCAATAAATGGTAATGAGAGCATCATCACCAGAGGCTTCTGAGTAGGACTCACAAGTGGAGACTGCCCAGGAGACAGCTGCACTAGGGAAGCCCCATCTCACACCTGGCCCCTTCCGGCCCATTCTCCAGCAAATGAGTGCCAGGGATGGGGCCAGGGAGGAGGGGCCGGTGAGCCCTTGGAGCTGCCCCATGGAGGCTGAGTTCCTGGTGACACCCACAGTGAGCTGTCTGACAGCTCATGCCACCGGCCCCATTACCCACCTTAGACAGGTGACCATCTCCACCTGCTCTTCCCCTAGAGTTTGCTTTATCTCGCAGGGTTCAGAGTCCTTTTATGCCCTACCCCATCAAGGGGCAGGATGAACCTGTGATAGCATGGAGGTGGTAGGACCCTCCAGAGGTAGGGGCTGAACCAGGGTCCAAGCAGCTCACCCAGTCTGGTCCTGCCCACTCCAGCTGTCACATGGCTATTCCCCATCATAGCAAGGATCCGGCTGGCCTGGAGTATAGGAGTATAGAAGGAGGTGGGAAGGTGGGAAGTATCAATGCTACTGATAACAGAGGTTGGCCTGGAGCAAACCAGACCTGATCTCCACCAGCCCCACTACTTTTTAGTTTTGAGGCCCTGAGCTGGATGCCTCAGGGTTCCAGTGTGCAAACAGCAATGACACAGTTCTCTTCCTCAGGCTGTTTGGGGCTGAGTCAAGCAAGGATGTGTGGTCAGGTGACTCAGGCCTGCATGGCCCCACCCTACTCAGGATTGGGTGTCCTCATAGGGAAGGCTGGACCAGGGGCTGCCCAGGGATTTGTGAATCAACTTGGGATGTGAAGCTGGGCTCCTGGACCTTGGTGGCCCCAGAAGGTCTTCACATGGCCTGCAGGGCTCCAGCTGAGGACCTTTCTGGGATTTTCTTTTCACCCTGATATTCAATCTGACCCTCACCCCTCCTCACCTCTGGTCCTTCCAGCTCTGGGAGTACTGCAGCTGGGGGCCTCTGCATCCTCCACATGGCCTCCCCTTCCCTTTGCATCCAACAGGATTCTTTGCAACCTACGTCTCCACAGGAGGATGAGGCAACCAAAGAGGAAGAAGTAATTGAGGAGGTATGAACTGGACTCTCTGTGGGCACCGAACCCTTCCCCACCTTGTGGGTGTCCTCCAGCAAGCCCCCTGTTCAGAGATGGATGTGGAGCAAGGACCCAGAGCCCTCAGGGAAAGCCAGCCTTTTGCAGCTCTTGAGCGGGATGGTGGGAGGGGCCAGTCCTGAGCCTGAAGGTGAGGTCACAGATGATGCCCGCCTCTCCCCTCACCACTCAGCCTGGGACTTAGAGGAGCTCTGAAAGTTGGGGCTGGAACTGTGTGTGAGAGTTACTCTCATTCCCAGGCTAAGAGTGGGGGAGACTAGAGGTCCCAAGACACCACCCCGCTGCCTTGGACCTGGTGTGCCGGTGGTCCTGGAGTGTGAACCTGCGGGGCTGCACCTGCTCCTGACACCCACAGGCCTGTCCTTACCACACTGCTACACCATCACTACCTTCACCTCTCTCCCTCAGACCCTCCTTCCACCTCTGGTCCTCTGATCCACAGATGATGCTGTGAATTATTATTTGTTTCTGTTTTTTATGATTCCAAATAAAACTCAAATCCACATTCCTGGTCATGCAGTCCTGTGCTTCCTCTTTATTACTGCCTTGTTTGTAAAGAATCCTCCTGGGCCCTCCTGAGGAACAAGTGTAGCCTGTCACGTAGGTTGGAAACAGGTAACCTACAGGTACATTGGGTGTTTCTGGGAGCTGCTGAGAGCAGGCACTGCCTTCACCCCAACCCCACTCACATGGTCTTCGGCTCTACCCTGACAATCTGCAGAACACACTGTCTTCAGTAGGCAAGCTCTAAGCACCCCATGTTTTGAGTTTTGGCTCTACCTCCAGGTGGATGCCTGCTTGCCTGCTGACTGTCCTTTATAACCTATGGTGCCAGGAAATGCATCTGTGCATCCAGGGCTCCTGTGTCGCTCAGGGAACGGGGACACCAAACACCCTGGCTGGGCCAGACAGTTACCAGCAGCACCCTCATCACAACCACAGTGAGATACAGCTGGTACCCAGGGCCCTTCCACCCAGCTCCACTTAGGCTTGAGTGCCCAGCTGAGCTGGAGTGAAAGAAGCCCCTCCTTCACCAAGAAGTGCCTCCGGGTATCATAAAAACAAACTGCACGAGATGCAAGCCGCCTTCAGAGGGGGTTGTGGCTCCTCCTGCAGAGAAAAAGAGTGAAAACACACATTTATTTAGCTCCCATGTCTGGGGCACCACTCAGCGCTTTGTGGATGCCATTTTCAGAACAGACCTTGGTACTAAGTGGTACTGTCTCAGTTTTACCAAGAAGAAAACTGAGAAACAGAAAGATTAGGAAGTGGGAGCCTGGTCCGGAGCTACTCTGTTGATCCCCACAGCTCCAGCCTTGTGAACTCCATGAGTCTATGACAGATTGTCCACCTTACCCCCTGAGGTTTCAAAACAACCTGCGGCCCAGCTAGTCAGTGTCCCACACAAAGGGACTATGTGTACCATGCCCTGGAGGCCTTGGCACGGTTCTCTGGGGGCCCTGATACGCTTGATAGCTAGACAGTTGGTCTCTAAGTGTCTAACAGCATCTAAGTAACTTGCCCATGTCTCCAGTTCTGAATTTCCAAACTGGAGCTGAGTCCACAACTGGTCCCAGAAACTGCCTGTCAATGCGCTTCGTTGGGCCTCCAGGGTGGGAAGCAGGGGTCCAAGGCAGCCCAGAGGCTGGGACCCTCCCAGTACAGCTGCACTGGGTTATATCCTGACCTGCTGGCTCTGGGTAGCCACTGCTAAAGAGGCAGAAAAGTGCCAGGGGATGCTGGGTCTCTCTGCTCCCTGAACCGTACTTTAGGCAGGAGAAAGGGGGTCTGAAAAGGTTCAGGGCAGTAGGGTTGTCTCTGATCCCTGGCCCAGACATGTGCACATCAGCAGGCATGTGCATGATCCAGGTGGTCGGTCCCCCTGGGTCTGGGTGTGCCTGAGAGCTCTCTGGCCTAGAAGAGAAAGCAAAGAGGAACAGGGCTGGCTAGCACAGTGTCTGGGGGTGTAGAGAGCAGCTCATGCAAACCAGGCCTCTGGGGACAGCATTTACTAGGCTCCCAGTGCCCTTTGCCTCTGCTCCCCACCATAGACACATACTCAGGGCCTAGACCTGGCTTCAAATGCCTTCCTGGAAGGGTTCTGGTAAACTACCTGTTACTTGCTGGATTATCTGAGGGGTGGTACCCGACCTCCTTGGGGAAGTAGGCACCCTTCCAGAAAAGCCCAGCACCCTACTCTTGCAAGGCCCTCTACTGTGAGCTGGACACCCTCAGTCCATTGAGTCTTTACAGTAACACTTTGGGGAGGTGTTGTTGTTATCACCATATCAAGGTGGAGTCCTGGTGTGGCGTTGTGGGTTAATGCACTGGACTGCAAGGTCGATTGGAACAAGAGAACAAGATCAGCAGTTCAAGCTCACCAACCACTCCTTAAACGCTATGACTCAGAATCAACAACATCAAGGATGGGAACACTGAAGCTCAGAGAGGTGAAGGGACTAGCCCAAGGGTGAACTTAAACCCAAGAGGTCTGAGTCCAGAACCTGCTGCTTATGGCCCCTCTGAGCCATCTCACCCCTCACCCAATCCAGAAACTGGCTGTCACCGGTGAGTCAGAATCAACTGGACTGTAAGGAACAACAACAAAGGCAGGCTGGGGGCTGGGTTTGGGCTGCACTCCCCAAGTGCAAAGCAGCAGTCAGACAGCTTCGCTCAGTGCCTTTGTGCCCCAGGCAAGGCCAGCACGGGATGGCAGCCAAAACTTCATCCAAGCCTGGTGTCTGTCCCATCGCCACCTGATTTCACTGCCTGACCCTTCCTCTTGCTCAAGGATGCCCCTGGTTCTATTAATCTGTACTCAGTGGTATGTGCCCCTGAACTTCCAGGCTCCCCTATTAGGTCAGATCCTCCCCTGCTCTGACCCTGCCTCCCCTGCTCTGACCCTCCCCAAATAGGTCCTGGGTATGGATCAGGGGAATGGACCTGGGTAGGCAGGCAGGGGCTTCTCAAGACAGCCTCAGAGAGAGGGAGGAAGAGGAGAGAGAACACATCAGGGTCTCAATGCAGGCCTCAGAGATGAAGAGGGGGAGTCTAAGAGGGCAGCCTCCAAGTTCAGAAGTCAGACTTTCAAGTGGGAGAGTGCGACAGCAGGATGGGGTACCCGTGAATACTGAGGGGTGTCCCTCGCGGGTTGTTTAACTGTCCTTGGGATTCCTGGTACCTCCACTCATGCACAGGTCCCTAACCTCCCCTCCAGGGACCCCCAGGTTGTCACCAAGCCTTGTATAAGCTCAGTTCCAGGAAAGGAGACCTGAAGCAAGTGTCTGTGGCTGGGCTGCATCCTTCATTGTGCGACTCTGGGAGAGTCTCTGCTCCAACGGTGCTTCCTGTTTAACTCTGGGGACCAATGGTGAAGCCTTACCTGAGCAGGGTACCCGTGACCTGCCATCCCTGCTCCTCCTCCCTCCCACCTTGGGCTGCATCCTCCTCCTTTCTCTCCTCCCTCCCCGTCAAAGGCTTGCCCTCACCTAGGAGATTTACCTGATGTGCCCACTCACTGTGTATTGTGTATTGGCTGGGTCCCAGCAGCTAAGTGGCAGACAACTAACTGGTTGAACTATGTGTGTGGGGGCTGGCTGGGACCACGGTTGCCAGGTTTACAGCCCAGAGTCGCGTATGCTAGTTCCAGCCATGTGAGTTTGGATGAGACTCAACTGGACCCCTCTGTGCCTATGTTTCCTAGAAACCAGATCGTTGTCAAGATTAGACCAGGAGACCGAAGTGTCAGGGCAGGGCCTGGCCTGTGGTAAACGATCAATAAAAGACCGATGCTATTATTAATTTCAACTCTCCTGACCTGGAGCTAACCCCACACTCATGACTTGGGGCATCTTCAAGGTCTCCTAGAGACGCGTCGCGGCGACTTTGCAGGGCAGGAGCATCAGAAGTGCCTGCGCCCATCTCCCGTCCCAACTCCTTTTTTAACGACTGATCCACCCCCTTTCCGGATCCCTGATGCAGCTCCTTTCAAGCCCGTATCCCCTTCCCATCTCCAGGATCTTCCTTCCCACGGCCACCCTCCCTGGCTAGAGTGTGCTCCAGGGACTGCCGAACCTGGAACAAGGCCCGGTCACTCCCCGGAGCCCATCTGCAGGGAACCGCCCTGTGCCCCCCTCCCCCGACAACCCGCGGGGCGGGTCAGTCCTGGGGCGCCTTAAAAACCCGAGCTGGTGCTCTCGTCGCACAGTTCTGAGCAAGATCCTACTACACTCGGCTATCCTTGACTACTCCACAGACCACCTCCAGTCATGGCCAGCAAGACCTTTCAAGACCTGAAGCAGCAGGTGGAGGCGGTGACCCAGGAAGCGGGTGAGGATAGCGCACAACCTGGGGCAGAAACAGATGCGGGTGGAGTGTCTGAACAACTTGAAATCTGGCTGGAGCTTAGAAAGGCCCTTCCCTAAGATGGAGGGGTGCTTTCGGATCAGTGAGAGAAACGGTGCCCCGAGGGAGGTGGGGGCACAGCTGTGCCTGAGGAATCCAGGGTATGTACTTTGTGCATTGCCAGAGACTATCCGAGGAGGCGAGGAGGCTGCTAGGGCGGGGAATGGCCCAACCCCGTCCTTAGCCGCGGGCGAAGGTCTACTGAACGCAAGCTCCTGCCCTCGCCCGTTAGGGCCTTAGTGCACAGGGCGGAACTGCAATGCGAGAGGCGGATCCAGACAGCACTGGGCTTTATTTCGACCCCTCCTCCAAATGACCGTTTCCTTACTTTTAAATCGTGCCTATGAATTTAAAACTCAAGGTCAGCAGTTTGAAACTACCACCTGTTCTGCGGGAGAAAGATGAGGCTTTCTGCTGCCATAAAGATTCAGAAACCCTATGCAGGGTCGCTTTGAGTGGGAACGGACTTCACAGACCACCACCACCACCACTGAAGCTTCTACAACTCTTCCTCCTTAGATCAGAGGCTATACAATGTAGGATTTCGAAGTTGGGGGTTAGGGGCTATGGCAGGATCGTGGGCCCACCAGGGTTAGCCTTTCAGCGTCCTGCCCAGACTCCCTTGTGAATCTGGCACCAACCCATCCTCAAACCAACCCCTCTTTTCACCAGTGCCCCAGCAAAAGACTACAGTTCCCTCATTGATACTCAAATGCTACCAAGAAGCTATTGTCTCCAGAAGTCTTTCTCCTGGACTTCACTTTTCCCATTTGTAAGCTGGATGCAAGGTATTATGCTGATGGCACAAATAGTTAAGCAAGTGCTTGGTTGCTGGCCAAAAACTTGGCAGTTTGAACCCAGCCTTTCTGTGGGAAAAAGACCTGGTGGTCTGTTTCCATAAAAATTACAGTCAAGAAAAATCTATGGGCTAGTTCTACTGTTACATGGAGTTGCTATGAGTTGGTACAACTCCAGGGTACATAAAAACAAGCTGGATGCCAAGTATCCTCTGGTGGTTTCCTGTCTGAGTCAGACAAGGACCCCAGGGACCTCTCTGAGCAGATCCAAGGCCTGCCTGCTTGCTAACCTTCCCCCAAGAATGGGGTCTGAGAATGTCAGCACCATGGATTAGTCACATCTCTGCATGACCTACCTGACCACCTGGAAACCCATCCACAGGCAGAAACTGTGGTCCAGAGATGCCTGGACTTGGAAGTTTCTCACCTCTTTTCTGCACTTTGACTCCTTAAGCTGCCTGCTCAGTGGGGTGACTCACAGGAAAAAGGAGGTGGGGACAGAACCTTGCAAAAGTTTCTAGGACCAAGTGCAGCAGTAGTGGGCTGGGTTGTTGGGAGATGTAGTTAAAGAGGGTGGGGAGACTCTGCCCAGGCCATGCCCAGCAGCAGCTGCAGCCCAGATGCCAGCTCAAACCTAGACATGCTCACCTTCCTTTTTCTAGTGGATATGTTCTCAGCAATCCTAGAAATGGCAAGGGAAGCCAGCCACAAGAGAGGGACCTAGAGTTATAAATAAACAAGAACAGCCTAGAGACATGGAAAGGGCTGTGCCCCTCAGTGACTGGGTGGTCTTGGGCAAGGGAGTTCACCTTGTTGGCATCTTCCCATAGGCCTTAGGACAGAGTACGGTGGACATCATCTGGGGAGCTGGTATGGTGGCACCTCTGTGGTCAGGTGGGGTCTTAACAGGAATACTCTCTCTTTGTTCCAGTGACAGCAACCGGAACAGCAGCACAACAAGTGGTGGATCAAGCCACAGAGGCGGGGCAGAAAGGTGTGGTGAGGCTGGAGAGGAGGGTGTAACAAGAAGGCCTACCGCCTCAGTATATCCCCACCCTTACATACCCCTCCATTCACACTGCTCTGAGTCAGGCTTCCTAGGAAGGGAGCCCCTGGGCCAGGCTGCCACGGTGGGAACAGGTTGGGGTTGGTTCCCCAAAGCTGTGTCTCACCTACGCTCTCCTTTCCTTCCCCAGCCATGGACCAAGTGACCAAGTCTACCCAGGAAACCATCGACAAGACTGCTAACCAGGCTTCAGAGACCTTCTCGGGTTTGGGAAAAAAATTTGGGATCTTGAAATGACAGAAGGGAGACACTGCAGTGGCTTCCGGTCAGACCCCGGGTCAGCCAAACCTGGCTTTGAGCTATGCTCCGCCCCCTTGGACTGACCCCTCATTAAAGCAGTTGTATCCACCCTGTGTCTGCAGCATTCTTCCCCCACTTGGACCAAGCACTCCCTCCAGTCAAGAGCAGGGCCCCTTAGTCCAGAAGCCCAGACACATTTCCAGAGTCCTGGCCTCCCCAAGTTCTGAAACTTGGTTTGAATCCTTTCAATCCTAAATCTAAATTCAACCTCATCTAGGTGTGTGCTCCTCCTCCATCCAATCAGGAGCCACCCCCTACCCTTTCTGGCTACTGGAGTCTGGTCTCTGCTAGCAGGGGGTTCTCATGCCCCAGAGTCTCCAGGGGCTCAACTCTGGGAGAATGATGAAGGTCTCCGAGTGCCGCCGCCCCGCCGGGTGTTAATGCGCACGTCCTACCGGCGGTGAGTCACCGCCTCGGAAGGCCCCCGCCCTGGCCCCGGGAGGGAGGGCAAGGGCTGCGGGGCCGCACAGGGCCGTGCACGTGAGCATGAAACGCATGCACCCGGCCGCGTGTGCGCGCTAAGGCAAGAAACCCCTCCTCCAACCGACTGGGATGCCAATAGCCTCTGGCCCAGGACCAGCCTGACATTTCAGGCGGGCTGGCCCACGCACTTCTGATTCCCTCCCACCTCCCACTCAACACGTGTTCACGCACGCGATACCACACCCTACTGCTGGGTGACTTCCTATTGCCCCAGGCTAACGCTCAGCCCCAGTGTGGGCACTGGCCAATGGCCGCTGTGGCCCATTTGTTCGAACCTCCTGGCACATTTCCACTGGAGATAACCGATCCCTTCCCCACCTCCATGCCTTTGCACATTCTATTCTTTCAGCTGGTAATGATTCTGCCCCCTTCCGGTGAACCGCGTGTGTAGT